GGATATCGGCCAAAATCCCAATATCGTGCATCCCTAGTATACATCACCAGAATGATTTACAATTAAATGATTGATGGACTTTATTGCACTCACATTGGAAGAATTTACTCGTTACATCAGTTGAAATAGTCAAAAAGAGAAGAAGGTGCCAAAGGAAGAAAAAGGTGCGTCGGATATATACAGTATACACTATATATACAATATACAAACAACAGTTTTTTTTAATCAGGATTATTATACAGGTTTATTACACAGGGTGTTTACATGGGTATTTAAATAGATGGATATTTATATATAGTTATTGGACTGGGTGTCAAATATAGAGAAACAGGTTATTGCACAGGGTATTAAATAGTAATTGCACATTTTACATTGCACAAGTTATTGCCGTTCTGCTTTGTAGAGTCTGGTGGCAGCAGGGATGAATGACCTGCAGTAGCGCTTCTTTTTACAAACAGGGTGGTTAGTTTTACAAACAATTAGGAGGAACACTTATTTTGACGATCCACTTGGAAAATGAACATCCTCCACTCTATCTTTAATAAAGAGCACCAACACAAAGCTTTCATTTCTGTCAGGCTGTGAACCTGCCTCCTCTTCTTTTCTCTCTGGGGCCATATTGGGCTATCTAAAGCCATCACAGACCTTGGTGTACCCTGGTCACTTCAACATCCCATCCTGTGAGCAACTAGTGCAGTCTGCTGGGTGTAGGCTCATGTTCCTCACATTGACTTGAAACGTGAAGCTGCTGGAGCACTGAATTATTCTCAGAAACCTCTAACAGTACGTGTGTGTGCATGCTGGTGAGGTCATATGACAAGTGGTAGATTTTTATTAATAGTGTTCACTAAGGCCTTTGTTTTTATCTTTAGTGAGCCTTGTTGCTCATATCTTCACTCTTATACAAGCTAGAAGGACTGATTCGATTTGGTAGGGACCTTTTTCAGTTAGCTGCACTAAAAGGAGTATGAGAACATTTACCTTTGACCCCAGTACCCCCTGATTGCTACAAACTGGTGTGGATTTAAATGCCATACTGATCATGTCAGACTTATTAAAGCTTTACTGTGTTGATAAATGTGGAGGGAGACCTTACTTAATGAAGTTTTGCGCTTACCACATAAAGACATGCTTTCAAAGACAACATTAACTTTATAGCCATTATCTCTGAAAACTACTGCTTGGCCACTCTAGTTATGAATAAACTATTTGTCACTTAAACTCTTTGAATCACCACACTAGCTTGTCATGATCCTAAAGCAGTGCTATGAAACCTCTTTTGGACTCTTCCATTATTTTATTGATAGGGGGAGTGACGGTTTAGTGGTTAGTGCAGTGCTCTTGTGCTCTGAGAAGGTTGCGAGTACTGTGTTTGATCCCCACAGCCTCCAGTTCCTGAGCAAAAGCCTTAACGCCACACTGCTCTCTGGGGGCCAC